GCAGCTCTAGAGTCTCGATGAGCTTAAGAGCACTCGATGGCAAGATATGGGCATCAATATAGATGGAGAAAGATTAAATCACCTAAGATTTGCAGATGATGTTGTATTAATCGCAGATAATTTACATAATACAGTTTCTATGATGCATTCGCTTAAAAGTCTGTCTGAAAGAGCAGGATTAAAGATAAACTTTGAGAAAACTAAACTTATAACAAATCTCTTAATGAGTGGAAATATAGCTATTGACAATAATACCATACAACAAACAGACACTTACAAATATCTAGGATACGAAATCAAAATAAGCAGAGACAATCAAACACATGAAATACAGAGGCGAATAGGCCTAACATTTGGCAAATTAAGCCATATTCTAAAAAGTTCAATCCCCGTGTGTCTCAAGCGAAATATTATAATAAAAAGTTATATCCCCGTGTGTCTCAAGCGAAAGGTTTATAACCAATGTGTTTTACCTGTACAAACTTATGGAGCAGAGACTTTAACACTCACGCAAAAATCTGCGAATAAACTCAGAGTTACACAACGAGCCATGGAACGTGCAATGCTGAACGTGAGCCTTCGAGACCACATAACAAACCAACAAATCAGGCAAAGATCAGGAGTTCAAGACGTCATTGAAAGAACCATGACGCTTGAGTGGAACTGGGCAGAGCACTTAGCCAGAACACAAGATGGACGGTGGACAAGACGTGTTATGGAATGGAGGCCCAGAAACTATAAAAGAAGCCGAGGACGACCACCGACTAGATGGACCGATGATATAAAACGTGTAGCGGAAAACTGGCTACAAGCGGCCCAGTGTCCGGCCCAGTGGCCCAAAAAGAACTGTGCGAGGCCTATGTCCAGCAGTGGACGCGATTGGCTAATTGATGATGATGATGATCCTGAATTACCACATGTTTAATTTGGTTCGATTCCTTGGTGGAAGGTATTATCCATGCTCCTTTATATATCTTTTCGCTTAAAATGAATACTAATTATCTTCATTTCCCTATCTATAGCTATTCCATACCATCGAATACTAACTTAACTAAAGAAAGATCTGTGGAAAAAAAATAAAAACCCTAGAAGTAAAGTTATATAAAACAACTAATATTAGGTACATGCTCAGAAGGGTCAGGATCGAGATCATCTCACAGGCAGGTGAGGTTGAAATTTTGATAGCAGAAGTTATACGTTGCGCATCAGTATATTTTACATCCTACATATGTTTATCTTCTGCCAAAAATTACTTGTATAAAAATAAAATATGCAATAAAAATTTTTGAAGAAAAAAATCTGCACAAAACAGAAAATATTACTTTTTTTTGATATTTCTCTCTGACGTCCTTTCTATTTCGTTGTTGGTAATTTTTGGTAAAATAATTTATTGATTACACATAGGGTTACAAACAAAAAAATATATTCAATGTTAATTTAGCATCTGAATAAGCTGTCATTTGTTATTTAGATTATTTTGAAAAACTGTAAATCTGTCTTGAAACTTATATATAAAACTTTTTTACATATCAACAAACTTCCTAAGCTTTTCCTCTTCTGTTACACCTTGTTTATCTTTGAGTTATAGCTGAATTTTCCTCGTGCTAAATTTTTACTTCTGTAACGTTTATTACAAAAGAACAATACATTTTATAATTATCTCGTTAAGTAACAGTTATTCTTGCATTATTTTGGTAGTTAAGAATCCATATTTATAATAAAAGTCAACAAAACGTTAAAAACCTTGTTTATTACCCACTGTTCTACACAAGAACTCAGGCTTCTTAATTTTATATACCGCCACGGTACTAAACAAGTAGCTTTGTATTTAATTTAGCAGTACGTTATGGTTTAAAAATATACAGAGTGAGTTCTTCTCCTTCTTTTTCTTCTAATATTCATATTTTAAAATTATTTTACCCCTTAATATTGCCAACAATTTCTTCGTCGACCTTCATTTCATGTCCTCTACAGTTGGGTTTCTTTGTAGCACCATTCTCATTCTTAGCAGTATGTATTCCTCCATTTTCCTTATATGAATGTACTATTGACACCGTTTTTGTCTCTCCGGTCGTACTACATCTTTCATCATACATTATACTCTTATGTTTTTGTTTTTTGCTTGGTCCCTTACACGGTTCTTCTAGTTTTGCTTTCCATGCTCTGAAGTCCTCCAGTCTTGCTTCCATGAAGATGGAGGGCTCTATAGTACTATAGGTGCTACATTATAGTGTGGGAGATTAGCCCTACGCCCAACCTATAGTGCTAGGGACTCTTCTGTTGGGGTTGCCAAACTCGTCTTCACTTATTCCATGGCAAGTAGTGTGTCATCTACGGCATTGCTTGGTATTTAATGACAGCAGCCACTTGGCATAGCTACTGACACCAAGACCCATCATTAACCATTCACCTTCTTCCTTTCTCACCTGGAGTTGAGTCCGGCAATGACGCAAAACAAGATTTGATATATTAGGATATTCTTATTAGTATGAAATCTCTTCATTAAAAACTCTAAATCATTATAAAAATATAGCTACTGTACAAAACACTTTATATACAAAATTTATCTATCTATCTAATCAGCCTTAAATGCCCACTCTTGGGCATACGCCTCCCCTGTTAATCTTCATTGGTCTATTTTGGGCGATCTGCATCCAGTCCTTTCCTGCCGTTCTCGTAAGGTCGTCAGTCCATCTCATATGTGGTCTTCCTCTTTTTCTTTTCTTTTCCCATGGTCTCCAGTGTGGAATTCGCTTATTCCATCTTTCATCTTTTTGCCGGAGAGTGTGACCGGCGAAGTTCCATTTAAGTTTTGCAACCTGTCTTGATACATCGTTCACCTTTGTTTTTTCTTTGATCCATGAGTTTTTTTTCCTGTCTTTAAGATCGATACCCAGCATCTGTCTTTCCATTGCTCTTTGTGTTTTGGATATCCTGTCGATGTTCTCCCTTGTGAAAGTCCATGTTTGTGAGCCATATGTGATAACTGGTAAAATGCACTGATTGAATACTTTCGTTCGCATATATTGAGGGAAATGTTTATTTTTTAGAATATATGATAGTTTACCAAATAAGGCCCATGCTAGTCTATTTCTTCTTTTTATTTCTTCTGTTTGATTGTCCCTGTTCAGCTTTATTATCTGTCCTAGGTATATGTATTCTGCCACCTGTTCTAATTTATTCTGTTTGACTACTATTTCTAATTGGTCTTCTTGGTTTGTCATAGTCTTGGTTTTACTACAGTTCATCTCTAGACCTACCTCTGTCGCTTTTCTATCTAGTTCCTCAACCACCTTCTGTAACTCTTCCTTCTTATCTGTTATCGGGACTATATCGTCTGCATATCTCAAGTGGTTCAAGAGCTCTCCATTTATTCTTATTCCGTATGTATCCCATTCTAATTTTTTAAATATGTCTTCCATAGCTGATTGAACAATTTTGGTGATATTGCGTCTCCCTGCCTGATTTCTCTTTCGAATTTTATGGTTCTGTAGCGTGTTCGTTCGTCAATTTTATTTTGGTACTCGCATTTTGTATATGTTTGTTATTAGGTCCGTATACCTGTAATCAATTTTGCCGTTCTGTAGTAAGTTTTTGATGGCCCAATGTTCTATACTGTCAAACGCCTTTCGGAAGTCTATGAATGCCATATATAATGGGATTTGATAATCGTTCGACTTTTCAATCAGTATTTTTACTGTTAGCAGATGGTCGCTAGTACTAAAACCCTTTCTGAATCCCGCTTGTTCTCTTGCTTGGTATTCGTCAAGCTTAGTTGTTAGTCTATTGTCATGATCTTCGTTAGTAGTTTCAATACAACACTTAGTAATGTTATAGGTCTATAGTCTTCTAAGTTCTTTCGGTCACCTTTTTTGAACATTAATAATATCGGGTATTTCTTTTGTGGTCAATATTTTGTTCATAAGGATATGTAGGACTTCTCTAGTTGTTTTCCCTCCTCTCTTCAGCATCTCTACAGTTATTCCATCTTTTCCAGGTGACTTATGGTTTTTTAATTCTTGAATTGCTTTCATGATTTCTGTTTTACTTATTTCTGGTTGTAGGTCAGAGTTTATATTCTTTATTTTTGTGTTTAATTGTTTAAGAATTTCTTGCTGTGGTTTATGTCTTGTTCTGTATATGTGCGTATAGTATTCTTGTGTCAACTTTATTATTTGTTTCATATCATTAATGGTTGTTCCTTTGCTGTTTGTCATTTCATTTATCTGAGTTTTACCGAGTCGTTGTTTTAAGCATTTCATATTTTTGTTCTGCTGGATTACTCTTTCAATCTTTGCTTCCTGCGTTTTTCTCTTGGTTTCTTTATGTTTTTTTCTACTTGTTTTATTGATTTCAGTATATTCTACTGTTTTTCTTTTGCCCTGTTCAAGTAGGCTTCTTCTTGTCTTCATCAGGTTTTCTACTTCTTCTGAGATATAATTGTCCTTTTTTGTCGTCGATTTTGCAATTCTTTCCTCGGCCTGTAGCAATGTAGTTGTTAGTATTTCATTTATTTCGTTTGTTTCTTTATTTATTAAGTCGGTTGTATTTGGGATGCATTTTTTTATTTCTTTTTTGTACTTTTCTTCGTTTTGGCCAAGTTTCTCTATATCTAGTTTTTGTACGTTTTTGATTTTCTTTCTGGTTTCAAATTGGCTGTTAATTTGTATCTTAGCCGTCACCATTCGGTGATCGCTGCCTGTTGTGAAACGGTTTAGCACTGTGACATCCTTGGCTACGTATTTTGTGTTGATAATATGTAGTCGATCTCGTTCTTAGTTTTGGTGTCAGGGCTTATCTAGGTCCATTTTCTCTGTGGCTTCTTGTTGAAAAAGGATTTCATGGCGTAGAGTTTCCTTTCCTCCATGTAGTTCATCAGGGTTGTCCCTCTTTCGTTTCGGACACCATATCCATATTTTCCTATTTTTGTTTCTTCGTCATTTAGTCATATACAAAATACCAACTCCTTAATCCTTTTTTTAGTATTAATAGAAATATAGTTTGGTTTTAGCATGGAAAGAAACTTTTGTGAACGTGACGCGGAACCTTATTTGTATGGAGACGGCGACGCTTGCATTTTTAAAGATATTCAAGTACAGACGAAAGAAATTGCCATATTTTTGTTAGATTTAGATAAACGCCAGTAAGTATAATACCAATACAGCACATTTTATTTTAAAATTAAGCTTCGTAAACTCTTTTTTTTTTTCATGATCAGTAAAGATAGCGTCATGGAAAAATACTCTAACAAGTTAACAAGCTTTAAAAAATTACAGCTTAAGATGGTTCTAAAATATATTAGCTAGTAGTTTTATTGAACAAGAAAAATTTTGCGTTAATTCAAGAAGCTGCGAAGTGGATGATGCTACGCTGAAACGTTAAAACGAACTTTGTGCAGGCTATTATCAAGATGATAGAATAAACACTGAAGAAGAACGACTAGGCTTGAAGATTAATAAAGACAAGACGAATGTAATGATGGTTAGTAGAACACGAAATATGCAATTAAATATAAGAGTAAACAATAAGAACATCCAAAAGGTCCCCAAGTTCAGATATCTCGGTAGTTGGATAACTGAAGATCTAGATCCAGACATAGAGATACGTAGCAGGATTGAGCAAGCCAGAACAGCATTTACTAATATGAGAACCTTGCTAAGCATATATATATATATATATATATATATATATATATATATATATATATATACCGTGTGAAAAAAAATGTTTCGGAATGCAGTGGGCATGAAAGAGGCTCTCTTTAACATACAAGTGCTATTTGAACTACGTAGAGACGTGAATTATGATATTCCTTGATACTTCATTGATATAAAGCGTTCGATCCAGTAAAGCACGACAAGCTGATGAAGATATTAACAAATAATGAAATAAACAGTTGTGATCTAAGAATTAGTAGTAATCTTTACTGAAATCAAATATTGTCTATTCGTATAGAGGCAAGAAAATCCGATAATATCAAAATTAAACGTGGGGTTCCCACAGGGATGTATACTATCAGCACTGCTGTTCAACATGTACTCTCAGAAAATATTTCAATAAGCAGAAGAGGATGTTGAAGCCAGAATTTAAATTAATGGAAATTTTTTATTCTTTATGTCTTATGCCCAAATTCTTAGAGCGGTTTTTCTTCTAAACTTCTTTTTCTTCCCGATTGCTTCATTTGCGGTTTTTGTGATGCATTCCTTTATGTTGATTCACTATAATTTATGTTCCATTCTGTTGTAAATGCCTGTAAGTATTGTTGTAATCTTACATACTTTTCATATTATAATAAAAAACAAATGATTATGGATACATTTTACAGCATTGAATTGTGCCTTTTCTTAGATACTATTGCATTGTAAAATAGTGTAGTACTTAACTTTTTTGTAGGGTTCAAATGAAATGCGAAGGTATATACAACTATTTTAATATATACACACAGAAACACGACATTGGCTCTGGCCTCATCAAGAATTGTTTAGATTTAAACATTCCTTTATTATCGACTGATCATAATGGAAATATACACTACAGCACATCGGTAAGTACAAATTGTTTATATATATATATATATATATATATATATATATATATATATATATACAAACTTATTGCCTTCTATCAGTATCATCTTCATTATTTAACTCCTGAACTAACTGAACTTGGTAGGGGTGGTATTTTTCTTTATGTAAAACTCTCAAAATAGATGATTTACTTACACCATTGACGGCGGCAAGTTTTCGAGTTGTCTTATGCGGATTTTGCTCAATCTCTAGAAGTACATATAACTTTTTTTCATCAATAAATTTAATATTTCTACCTGGTTTTTCAATATTTTTTACATGTCCAGTATAACGAAACTTCTTTGCAATTGTGCTAACTGTAGACTACGAAACTTGTTGACTAGGGTATTTATTCATTATTAACATTATACAAACCTCCTTTTGAGGTCTTGTTTTATTACCACAACCAATCATAATTAACATGTCTATTCTTTTAGTCTCGGACAAATGAGCCAAATAATGTTTAGCAGAACAGATTCGAAAATACCTAATTATTTCTAAAGTACATTTTAATAGACTAGTCAATATTGCTGATAGTTAGGATAACGGAAGAAATTAACAAAATAACCCCCGAGGTAATACAAAATATTGTATCAGAATTCCAAAATCGCCTTGGTTATTGTCAAGAAGTGAATAATGGTGGTCAAGTTAAACATTTAATTTAATTGTAAAAATCAATTTTCTCAGTTATGATTGCACAACCTCAAAAAACTTTAAATTGCTGAACAGAGGACTAAAATCCCTTTCTAACAAGGTGTTACAAGACCCCCTTTGCTATTTAAAATTTTCGAGGGGGTGCTTATAATTCAAAGGGGTGCTGGAGGGGGATATTATTTTCATACTGTAAATTGTCATTTTTAAAATAAAAATCGACCTGTTTCAGGTTTTTTTCACATAGTACATAATAACGACAAAAATTAATTTATTCCATACATATGGACCACATGGTATATAAAAAAATACTTCGTTGCTTGTATTTAAACGTACTGTACTTTTTTAATTATTCGTTAAAAAACTCTTTCACTAAATAATAAGGTCTGTCTGTTTAGATAGCCTTTTGTCAATTTACGGAAAGAAGTTGTAGATTTAAGTTGCAAAGGAAGATGGTTGTTTAATTTTTTGCCGAATATAATATAGATTCCTTTACTAACTCAGTGGATGGGATCGGTAAATACACATCAAAGCTTAAATTTCTGGTGGAGTAATTTGTGATGCTAATTAATAAGTGGTGGTAATTTAAAACTGATATCAGATTGGGCAGCTGTACTAGAATCCCAAAAAGGAAGGCCATATCGAAATAAGAAGCAAGGGTTGAAGAGCCCCTTTTTAGGGTAATGCTACTGTCTTATACACGTTAAAAGAGAGTAAATTAGAGTCGGACCAGGTTTTTATTTTAAGTAGATCAGAAATTATAATTGCATGAAGAGTTGCAATATTAGATTTCTTCCACGTAATACTGGTATCATCACCAAAAAGAAAATTTTTTCCATCGATTGTAAGTTAGTGATGCCATTTATAAAGATAAGGAAAAGTAGAGGACCCAGTACTGTTCCTTGTGGCACTCCACATATAATGCTTTTGTGACTAGAGTCAGTATCATTTGCTCTAACTAGTTGTTTCTTTAGTTAAAATTAAGTTTTTTTATCAAAATGTCGTGGTCTACATAATCCAAAGCTTTGACATAGTCAGAAAAAACAGTGGCAGCATAAAGATTATTATTTAATGCTTGAAAGACCTCATGTAGTACAGAAAACATGGCATCGCTGGTACATTTATTAGATAAAAAATGTTGTTTTTAACGAGAAAGGACGTAAGTCGGACTTTTATAAGTTTCTCAATAATTTTGGATAGGACCGGTAGTAAGGCAATAGTTCTAATGTCTAAACACTTTCTGTAACCTCCGTGTGCTCTGTAGAGGGCTTTGGAAACATCGTGAGCTCCTCTACTTTTGTCCATGTTCGGGGAATGGACTTCAAAATGTTTTGTCTCCTGATGGTTCGTCTTAAGAAAGACGAGATATTTTCTTACATGACAAGACGTCAAAAATAATACATCAGGCCGTCTTCTTCAGCGACTTGCCTTGAAAAAGGCAAGATATTTTTTACATCAATTTTTAGGTTGTCGAAATAAAACACCAAATATTCAGTCGAATAAAATATTTAGCCACAGAGTATGGGAAAGCTAAAAAACAAAAAAAAAAGCAGCGCCCCGAGAGCACTAAGCTCTCGGAGAGCCCGTGAGGGACTGACTTGGTTGACCAAGCAATTTGATTGAACCCAGCCTATGAGACATGTTCACCCAGGTAGTACGATCGGGTGTAACAATTCATTGGAGCAAGGTGTTTTAATTTGTGTTTAAAAAACAGGAATCACCCCACCGTGCTCCAATGCTCTAGACCATCCCTTTCCCCCCTATAGCAATCTGATTCGCTATAGAGGCACAACAATCAGCCAAGTGCTCTTCATGTGGAGGTCCTGGGTAATTGAACCCCAACATGGTTTCCTAACCGTATGTGAAAACTCAGGACAGCGCATCTCCGCTATATTCCTGTTATCTTAATATGGTTTATCCATATTAAGATAAAATTTTTTTTGAAAAAGAAGCCGGTTTTTTTGTGTTTTTTGTAATTTTTTTTGTAGGTGACCTGTGGACAAAAAATCATAATTAGTGTATAATCTATATAAGGAAAATATATAAATATTATACGATACCACAATACAGATTGCATCCTAGTTGAGCTGCTGGGCCCACTGTGAACGAGGCGATGTGCGATAATCTGGGTGATTTGAGCTATGAGTTATCTCCCTTGTGTGTGTATTATGAATTTGGAGTTTCTTCTCACTCTGGGCTTTTTGTAGAGTTTTGTCCATCTGGGAGGGGGGGGGGTTTGTTTCTCTCTCTGGTTTTACTTTAATCTACTATTTGTTGTTTAGGTCTTTTGTGCTACCATCTGTGGAAAGCGTCATACCTCATTGTCTCTCGTAACTTGGTTGACCTGAAAATCGCCAATATTTATATACGCCGGTGTAGCGATAAATATGGATTTCCAGGTCAGGGACCAATAGGAAAAGTAGAGCCGGGGCGATGCGTCTCGGAGTGCGTACTAGTCGCGCTCGAGGACATTATGAAGAGGAACAATAATGGCTGTCTTTAGGCACTCTGGCAATATACCTTTTTCAAAGGCATCATTAATTAGTGAGACCAGGACTTCCAACACATTATGTGGGAGATTTAAGAACATTTTTATGGATAGTTCATCAGTACTACAGGAAGATTTGCTTTTGATACTGCTGATTGCTTGGATCAGTTCAGATTTATCAACTGGTCTTATAAAGAATGAATTCGAGACCTTTTTTGAATTGGGGAGATGAAAAATAGGATCTTGTTGTGGCAAAATAGCTGATGTTATATTTTTATTCACATTAACGAAGTATTCATTTAGATTTTCAGGGTTTGGAAGAGAAAATGTTTGAGCTGTGTTAGTTTTATTTCGGAGATCGTTTAATATGGACCAAGTTTCCCCTGCAACATTTTTAGAGCTTTCCAGATGATTCTCATAGCACATTTTTTTATTGTTGTTTTGATAAGTTTTAGATAGGTTCCTCTGTACTTGGAGGTATATTAAGTGAAAAAGACATTGGTAGTAAATTTCGCAAAAAAACAAAAAGTACATTAGAAAACGCATATGCTTGGCTAATATGCAGATACCCTTGGTAGTCCAGGGTTTGAGACTACTTTGTTTTATCGGGCGTCGTATTTCAAATTTCAGGTAGCCAGCAGTATCTTATGAAATTACTTCTTTATATCTATTTAGTTTTTGTATATTTTATTAATATATTTTATTTTGTTTTAAGTTTTTTATGGAGATTAAAAGCAAACAAGAAGAAGGATTTTATGCATTTGTTTTTCATCGCTGTCCTACCGATGATATGAAAGTAGTAGAAGAATCCCAAATAAATTTCAACATCGCGTTCTTGGAGGATAACCTAAGCAGAATGAATCTTCCTGAAGAAAACGAAACATCGACTTCTACTATAAAACCCGAAGAATCACATGTAGAAATAAATATAAATCCTTTACCGAAGCTTCCCTTAAATATTAAAATTTTACCGAAAATTAAAGCAGTGGATCTGACAACAGCACATAAAACGGAAACTACTACCTCCATTAGGACTACTTTAACTCCAACAATTCCAGTAGAGCCACCAAATATATCGATATCCACAGTCACAATAGAAGAAACAACTCTACTTACAAGTACAAGCACAGTGGTACCTACAAGTACCACCACATTGGAGTCCACGTTACCTTCACGAAAAACTATACAGGAATCAAGTTCACCTATCAGCACAACAATAGAAAAACCTAATTCACCTACCAGCACAACGATAGGACAAGTTGGTTTATCTGGCAGCACAACGATAGAAGAACAAAGTTCACCTACAAGTACGACGATAGAAGAACCCTCCTTTGCCACAAACGCAACTACAGAACGATCAAGTGTATCTACTGCTATAACAACCGAACCATCAGTTGACTTTAGTATACCTTTTAACAACACTATGGATACATCCAAAGTAGAAAAATCGTCAGGTATCCTGTACATCATAATGTCTATTCTATTTTTCCTGGCGGCTGTAGTTATGTTGGTTCTCTTGATAAAGGCAGGTTTACCACATAAGGTACATTTTATGATGGTCACGGTGATGTTTCTTAAGGCGGCAGTTCTAGTTCTACGTGCTGGCGGTTGGTATTACGTTAAGAAGTATCGGAGGAAGTCGCCTATCCTGGATAAAGCATACTATGGAGTCGAAATTGCAAAAGGTAAGTGGATATATAAATAGTTAAGTTTATTTAATTTACAATGTACCATATGTTTTGGAGCGTTTAGATATACTAAACTTTCAACTTTCTGTTTGGTATAGAAGAACTAATAGACTTAACATTTGGAACAGTACAAAAAGAACTATCAAGAAAAAGTATCACCCAGAAAAAGTTGGACTATGAGGACAGTCTGTAGCAGATTATGGATCGCTTGAAACCACCCCACCACCCCCTCTGACGTTTTAAATCAACGTAGAGTCGTTCATCTATAAATAAGCCTAGAAAAACTTATAACAGGTTTGGAATAGCTTATCTTCTTCTTATGGTGCCTATCCGTTACGGATGTTGGACACTAACATGGCTATTCTGACTTTGTTGACTGCTGCCCTGAAAAGTCCGGTAGTGGTTAAGTTAAACCATTTTCGCAGGTTATGCAGCCAGGATATTCTTCTCCGTCCTGGACCTCTTTTCCCATGCACTTTACCTTAAAGTATGGTCCGAAGTAGGTCATATCGTTATTCATTGCGCATTATATGGCTCAGGTATTCTAGTTTGCGACGTTTTATGGTTACGACTAGTTCGCGCTCTTTACCCATTCTACGTAGTACTTCTTCGTTGGTAACTCTGTCTATCTAGGAAATCCTCAATATGCGTCTATAGCACCATATTTCAAATGCTTCAAGACTCTTCAGTGATGCTTCAGTTAAGGTCCATGACTCCACGCCATATAAAAGAACGGAAAATACGTAGCATTTTAGTAAACGAACTTTTATTTTCAATTTTATGTCGTGGCTGTTAAAGATTATTTTCATTTTGACGAAAGCTAATCTTGCCTTCTCGATCCTTATCTTAATTTCCGTCGATTGGTCCCACTGTTCATTTAAGTTTGCACCCAGATAACAAAAGTTGGTGATTTGTGTTATAGGTTGTTGGTTAACTAGTCATTGACCAGGTGGTATCCTATTTTTTGCTTATAACCATGTATTTGGTTTTTTTGATGTTAAAATCAAGCCCAAACCTGCTACTTACTTCTGCCACACTGGAGACAAGTGTCTGCAGACCTTCAAGACTGTCTGCAAAAATGACAGTATCATCAGCGTATCTTATGTTGTTCAATAGTTCTCCGTTTATAAGTATTCCCTCGTCTATGTCCGTTAGCGCTAGGTTCATGATATGCTCTGAATATGTATTGAACAATAATGGGGACAATATACATCCCTGTCGTACACGTCTTTTTATCTTTATATCGTCTGTTAACTGATCCCCAACTCTAACAGCGACAGTCTGTAAACAACGATACCCCCGATTTGTCATAGTCAAACAATGGTTTAAGAAAAGCTGCTGCCTAATCTTCCAAAGAAAACTATTGCGGTGATGGACGACGCACATACGTCGAGTTAATGAATTTACGCGGTCAAAATTATTTTACAGCATAGTTCTACTCAAAATGGTACAAATTAACGGAAATATTGTTTTTTTTTTAAATATTGGCATCTACTTTTCATGGAAAAAATCAAAATCAAATTTTAAAATGAACAAAAAATATATTAGTTTTTGTTTTACCTCACATATCAGTGTCTGACATATCGGACTCAGTATTCGGGTCACTTGGTAAAAGCATTTGAATCGTTTCAGGGCAAAATGAGCCTGGTTTGACTCTTTTCTGTACACGTTTCTTGCTGATTAAAATGGTTAATAATGGATCAGAAGTTAGAATAAGTCTGTTGAATATATCTAGGTTGCATTCCTCCCTCGAGAACTTTCGTGCATAGTTCTCGCGATATAATCGAAAATGCTTATTTTTAGCTTCTGCTGCCTCTTCCGACAGCTGTCCTATAGGTAATAAGGCATTTTCGATTATTTCTGCACCGTGAACTAATATTTTATACATGGTTGGTGTCATCCATACAGATCGACATACAGTTTCGCTGTTGCTTTGGAATAATCATCAAATTGTTGAACGTCAATTTTATGACCACTTGAAATTGTTTCTAATATAATCTTCAGTCTACATATCAATTCAAAATTAACTTTTTAGTTATTTAACTAACTGTTTAACTTATTAGTTGAGGATTTTTAAAAAATCTTCGGCTACTATGGCCGTCATTAGTGTTCCCGAAATTGGCTTTTGGCATGTCGATTAACAATCCAGTTTCTTTTCTAAATATTTCCTGGATATATTTTTTTGTGGGCACTTCTATCTTCTTTTCTTCGTCAGTTGTCTTTTCTCCATACTTTTTTATTGTTAATTTGTATGCCAAATGTAAAACGCTTGCAAGCATTCGGATTCTAGCATGTAATACCGAGAGACCAAATTCAATAGCCTTAGAACTTGTACTTAATTTTTTATTCAGATTGTTAAAGTCTATAGATCATTCACTCCGCATTATATAACACCGACTTGTAGATTTTGTATTATTTGCATCATTACAAACCTTGCCATCAATCATGGTCATCTTAAAAACATGATCAAACATGAATGTGTTACCGTTCAAAACAACTTTACGTGTTAAGTTACGTGTTTAGTGTGTTAAGTTTTTGGCAGATTCTTCAACGTAACTGATCTCCTCGTTCGTTACATCAACTGTTTCTTTCACAAATCTAAATCGTATAGGTCTACAATATCTAGGCGAGGACGGTATTGGGTTTTGCCAAATTACTTTTTAACCTTTTTTGCCACATACTATTCGAAGTGGAATAAAAGAAGATAGGAATATATGCGCGTACCAGCGTCATCGTCAAATTTCTGTTTGTATCTGGCTTGTTGAGATCCGTCACAACCTCATTTATAAATAATTTTTAAAGACTTCCTTTCATTGTCATTTAGAGAACAAAGGATTTCTTCTAACCCCACTGATAAGCGGTAAACGGTGTTATCTATTAAACTTTGAAAAAACTGCTTTCTGCGCAAGTACTTGATACTTTTATGCAATTCGTTGGCGGGTAACATTGTTTTTTTTTTCTTTTAACTGTAAGTCATAGGAAGGATGAAAAGATTTATTTGTATTTCTAATGATTTCATACTGTCTCTTGGTTAAATCAGCTTCAACAAACATTGCTAGGGCTTGCAACGGTGTAAGAGCAGTAATGTTTTCTTTATTTATTTTCCTGAACGCATCTCTATATTTATTTGCACGAGTTGGAGAGTTTGTAATATCTTTTAATATTTTTGAAGCATTTCTTTTTCCTCGAGCCTGTAATGTTGATTGGGCTGCATGAACGATAACTTCTCCATCAAGCGAAGAACGTATTTCTTCTGTTTTTCTCCTTTTCGTTCTTTCACTGGAGTCATTAAATGATTTAGATGGCCGACCTGGTCGCATTTTTTCGTTTTCTACAAGTATAAATGTTCCATCTAACCAAACTGTATTTGTTTGTAAAAATGTAGCCTCTTTTCGGTGGGCCGTTAACCACTTCTCTTTCATGGCCGTTTTAAAATGCCGAAATGTTCGCTTTAAACTGGTTAAATTGTCAGATGTGTCATCATAACAGGTCAGTAAGTAATTTTCTAAATATTTCAGTTTATCATTTAAATTAGGCAAATCTTGAAGCTTCATTTGGTCGTAAAGATATTTACGGGTCACTATTTTTATGCCAAAGGCACCAGATGTAGCTAAAACAAAGAAAATCGTAACTTGTTACAGTGAATATAATTTAATTTTATTTGTGTGACGTCATCAATAAAACAAAATAAACAAAAACCCCTGTATTTCGGTCATCCGCAGCTATTCGCAGCTAAATCGTACGGCATTAATTAGCCAAATATGCAATATACTATAAAATAAACAGTAATGGATCTGCAGCGATAATATAAATTAATGTCGTATAAACATAAAAAAGTAAAGAAAATTTCACTACAAAACAGCTTGCCTTTGATTTTGAAAAAATAATATAAGATAACAGTAAACATTCTTTACATATGTATTTAAAGAAATATGCATTCTTACCTGAATTATTTGATTCCATCATAATCACTTTAAAAAATAAGCTGAATATCACAAAATATCACGATATATGAAAAGTGTATTACTAGGCGTAGACAACAAAACGTTATTGACAAGCTACCTACCGCGCGCCTGCGTCTGCGCACGAGCAGGTGAACAGTTCTAGAGTTGGGACAGTTATTTTTTGTTAATTCGAACCATCATGTATCTCTAGGATATTTCTTAAATTTTTTACGTCACTTTTGAAATTTGACTTTTGGCCGGCTAATTATTTAAAATCAACGTATGTGCGATGCCTCGTACCGTTCTAGGAGAGAAGAAGTGATTCCGACATAAGCGTTTAATAAAGATTACACATAAACACGGTAGTTGGAGAAAAATATCTTTTTTGAAGAAGATTATTTAAAATCAGAGCTTATGGAAGTCGTAAACACATTCAAAGAAGGATACATGAAATATAAAATCGACGAGATATGCGCAGAGAAAAATGTTGACATTCTGAGACTACCTTGATACTATTGTTAGTTAAATTCAATTGAAAAGGTATGTAGTTAAGTCAAAAGACATATTGCCTCACACAACTCAGAGTTTAAGACCGTCGCAATGACACAATTAATAAGAAATGCATTTGGTGTAGCAACAGTGGATAACTGGAAAAATTATTCTAAACTTGCTATTAAGGAAGAGTAAACAGTTTGGGTTATTGCTGGGTTGATGGACGATATTGATCCTCTAATCTATGATATTGATCCTGTAACAATAAATGTGACGGTTGACAGAGATAGCGATGACAGTAATAGCGATGATAGAGAAAGTGAAAATTAGCGAACGCAAGGTGCCAAAACCAAAAAGTATGTAAGTGATAGTCCAACAATAAGTGAAAATCAGGTAGTAGTATGAAAAATGTCAAATAATAATTTTAAAGGGAATGTTGTTATAAATAATGAAACATTTTAATGTAAGAAATTGTTGTTGGTATTAGGATGTAAATGAAATAAAAATTGCTTTTTGTTTTTATCTTTTAGTTAAATTATATCTAAAGTGTTAATAAACATATAATGTTAAACAATAGTATAATTTAACTATTTTTATCAGACATATATTAATTACATATCTATATATGTCTATTATATGTCTATTAAAGAAACAAGTATTTATAATGTGTTATTATGTATTCAACTGTATGTTTTCGCTTATTGGTGAAATTAAGTTAACTACATCTACACAATGCGGAATACGGCTCTGATTAGACTGACTCGTATATCGGCAGTCTAGTAGTAACACGTGCCTGAGAATCTTAGCAACAATGATCTGTATAAGTTAAACGTTCCGTTCTTAACGTGAAATAAAGTTTTAGACCTCTTATAAGATGTTCAAGACGTATTATAAGCTCGTCTACAGACACAAGTCTGCACAGATTTTTAATGTCAGAGTAAAGTGGTGGGGTGAATTGTACCTAATATCTGTATTTTTTTACTTTTTCTATTGGAACCCCTCTTATGTTTAAAATGTCTTGTTGTTGTGTTTTGGAAATTGTCATAAATTTTGTTTTATTAACATTAAGCGTTAGTCCGCTTTCCTCACTAGCATTTACTACATTATCTAAGAGTGTCTGTAGATCTTGTTGGGTTTAATAATAAACACCAAGAAAACGAAGTATATGAAAATAAGCACGCAATTTGTATACCTGAGAGCACTTCTTAATACTGAAAATAATACTACCGCAGAATTTGCACGGAAAACAGATGCTATTTTGGACTCAATCTCCTCCTTAAATCCACAATTATATCGAGAAATACAAAAAAAAAACTCTACAAAATAATAATACGTCAGTCCTAACGTATGGTTCAGAGACCTGGATCCAGGATCCAAAGAAAAGTACTAAGGCGAATCTTTGGAGCAGAGAATAACAATGGAGTGTGGATAAACGATAAAACTTCGAACTTTATAGAATATACCAGGAACCTGATATCGTAAAACATATTAAGATAGGACGTCTGAGGTGGATAGAGCATTTCGATGGTGAAAGTTCCCAACCTCCTATGTCAATTTTTGACAATTTTGTTTTTTACCTTAAATTAAAGATATATATATATATATATATATATATATATATATATATATATATATATATATATATATATATATATATATGTATTTTTACTGTTTACAAGCTCCTATGTCGTTATTTCATTAATTGGCCTCTAGATCGCAGCAATATCCAGGATCTATGTCACATGACTCGTTTTAGACTTCTCCAAACTCTTATGTCAGTTCGCCACGGATATTGGAGTTTGAGTCCGGCTTTTTTCACCTAACCTAAATTACTATTACCTTTCATGTCAACAGATTCAATGTGCATTCAACACGTGAATTTAAATTTTTGTTTGCTTTTATTATATCTACTTTTTATAGTATTCATTATTATAATAAACAGTTGGAGTCCAACGTCTGGAGATAAACGAGAGAATAGTTTTTCATTATTACCTAAAAATATATAATGAATGAAAAGAAGTGTGTAAGGAAATGTTTTGCAACACCCTATCTTGGTCTTGCCAGAACTGGGCGAAAAACGGAGAACATGGGATCAGATCTGATAAAGATCTTAATGATACCCCTTACACTTCTGGTGGTGGTTCAAAAAGAAAAGCTAACACAGAAAAAACTGCAAAATCAAAGTTTGCCGCGGAACATATCGACTCATTACCTAAGCTTGAATCCCACTACTGCCGAAAGGACAGCAGTAAGCTGTTACCTAGAACCAACAATTTCTTCTTTTGAACAGTTGCATAGGTTGTACTTAGAGAGATGTAAGGAAACAGGACAAGAAGGACTGTCCAGAACCAGTTTTAGAGAACTTATTGTTTCTAAAAGTATTTCACTATTTACACCTAAAAAGGATCAGTGTGATACTTGTTGTCAGCATGGCGTTGGTAATTCGTCTGATGAATATTATGCGTCACATATCAAGGAGAAACAAATGACTCGGCAGAAAAAGAAAGGGACAAGAAAAAAGGAGTACAAAACAAGTGCAAAATCCTTTGCCTTGACATGCAGGCAGTAAAGTTGTCACCTTGCCTAAAAGCATCTGCACTGTACTATAAAAAAAGCTTTGTTGCCACAATTATACGGTGTTTGATATGATTTGATAACATTGGATGTTATGTGCTACTGGTGGGACGAAAGCGAAGGCGAGCTGAAATCGTCAAATTTTGTTAGCTGCTTGATAAACTATTTAGAGGAGTTAATGTAAGCTAGTCTCCTAGAGTAGATCATAAAATAATTATTTGGAGCGATAGCTGCATCTACCAAAATAAAAATAAAATCCTCAGCAATGCTCTCCTGCAATTTGCAGTTTTGAATAATGTCACAATACTTTAAAAATGCCTAGTTCATGGGCACACTCAGATGGAGTGTGACTCAGTCCATGCAACTATTGAAAAGAAATTAAAAAATAGAAATATCTATTTACAGCCACGAATACCTAGCAGTTACTAAGGAAGCACGACTGAAACCTTTTCTTTACAGGACTAAATCTCTCACTTACGATTTTTTTAAAGATTTTTCGGGGCCGAATTATGTAAGGTAATTAAATAACTATAGAAGTATGCACCTACTACTAATATTGTTTCAATTTTACCGTTATTGAAAAATCCTGTCTTTCCGTCCAGGTACGAAGACCACAGATCCAACAGTACACCAAATGTGTGCCATTAAGTACACTCTAGAAGGAAGACTGTATTATTATTGAGTTAATGCCTCCACAAATAAGATCATTGGCATGATACAGTCAGGTACCTAGTGTAGTGTGTGTGTGTGTGTGTGTGTGTGTGTGTGTGTGTGTGTGTAGAGTAATTGTCTTGATACTTAGCAAAGTCGACGTCATTGTCTTTGCTAAGAGACGCTAATTGGCTAATTGTATCCGAACGTCTGCGGTCCCTCCGGTGAGTACCGATCGCACAAGGATAGAAATTATTTTCATTCATTAATTTTTAATAAACGAAAATTTCTCTACCCAGATGAGATTCGAACTCACGACCTTTAGGTTTAAAGGTAGGCGCTCTTATCACTGAGCCACAGAGGGGGTTGAAGACTGTATTATAAACTAGGCTTTATGGACAGCGCTTTTACAGAGCTAAAACGTCGTGCCAAAAAAATATCTAACGACCCATATCCACAAATGTATAAGGAAAAACCAAAAATAAATGAATCAAAATTCAAACATTTGCAGCAGCTTAAAAGTGTTATACCTCTTGCAGCTCATTATTTTTATAATAACTTACCACATTAAACTATGTTTTTATTATTTTGAAATCTTTAATCATTTATGGGTACTATACGAACTGAAAAATAAAGTAAACTGCGAGTTTGTTGTTTCTTTTGCCACCACCTATGTCATTAATTTTATGAATACTAATAGGTACCCAAACTCCTATGTCAATTTATGATTATATTATTTTTTACATATCAAAAATTTCGTTATTAAATTAAACTAAACCAATTTCCTAAAACGGAGTAATGAAAAAAATTATAATAATTTGCAAAACTTATGTAAAATACAGTTTTTATGCTCTCCTGTAAAGTTGGGTATTTTGACATAGAAGGTTGTGATCGCCATCGATTTAATACGGATGGAACAAAATGACCCAGCTAAAAAAATGCAACTTGATAGACCTATTGTTCAGAGAAGAAGAGGAACGCCCAGAACAAGGTTCCTTGACAATATCGATGAAGGCATGAGAAATATGGAAATACGTGCTTGGCGGAGAAAGGCGATAAATAGAGACGACTGGAGAGAAATTCTTGAGGAGGCTAGGACCCATGCAGGGTTGCAAAGCCAGAATGATGATGATATATACATCCTGAACTTTGCAAGTGAGGAAGAAGAAAACTGGACAATCATTATATGGTGTTTCTCTAATATTTAGGTGACATTTATTTATCATTTTTTATTTCTGTAATAGTTTCATAGTGTTTCTATAATATTTATAAATTTATATGAGAACTACCACAACCAACAACGAGTAAACAGTCTTAAAAGTAAGGTTAAGATTTTCAGACTCATTAGGAAAATTTTTTTATGCTGTTATGTCGTACATTTCAAAGATATTGAACTTCTTTTCTTATTTTGTATTTTCAGGGGGCTTCCAATCTATTACTCAACTACTCTACGGCACCGGATGGGATTTCAGTAAACACACATTATCAGCAAGAGAAAAAATTCTTTTAATCATTGCAGCTCCCGTTCAGATATTAGCGATAGTAGGGCAAATTCTTCTGCCTAAAAGTCAAGAAAATCCAGTCAGTGTATCTAATTTAACAACACCAGAAAATGTAATGAATATATCCCAGTTATCATTACTAGATCAAATGGGTTCTAATTCAACAATGATTAAGGTTCAAGCAGCTGCAGAAGACATATTAACGAATTTTCAAACTTCTACGATGTATACAACTTTTAGGATCATGACCATTGTGTTGGATTGGGCTGGCACAATATTTATGTTGATTCCGGTGATTTTGACCCTCACACAGATATGGGTTAGTAAAAATACTTATTCTTCTTTTTATTATATTATTATATTGAAATATTTCAACGAAGTATAAAATATTGTTCAAAATTATTATTACGTTATTTTCACGATTACAAATTAGACTGTGTACCTTTTAGATATAGAGGACTCAACGCCTTTAAATTCCCCCGCTTCTGGTAAATTTCACTATTTTCGGGGACTTCCGGTGTAACGGAAATATTTTGCCTACCAAAGGGTTCATTAATAAGGGGGTAGAAAATTGAGGGAAGAAACTATTGGAGGTGGAGATAAGGCAAGCAAAATAATCGCTACTTGTGCGAACGGCACTCAGGGTTTGGTAGGAGAGCTGGGGTCGTGGATAAGTAAAAAATAAGGGGGTTGGATTGAGGCAACTACAAAAAATGAAATAAAGGGTCATTAATCTCTTGGAATAAACAAAATAAAAATAAACAATAAACAGATCAAGCAATTTAATATAGGGCGCCACTTGAGGTGCCTAATTATGCCTACTACAACCACTGTAACTAGGGAAATAATTATAAAACATCATAAACATATCTTTTTCAAATAAAACACAAAAAAAGGTTAGTTCAAAAAAAATAAACAAAGTGTTAGAAAACAAAATCTAACATTTATTTTTGTGTCACCACAAACAGTTACAACATGGATATATACAAAAATACAAAAAACTTACGTGTGTCATCCGCTTACAAACTCCAGGAGTTGGACATACTACATAAAACTTACAAATGTTACCGCATTACAATTTTAAATGTTACAATTTCTTAATTTTAACGAAAGCAATTATTGTTCTAAAAAAATATCTGTCTTTACTTTGAAATTAAACAAACAATAAACAGTTACCTGGATTCACATATTTCCACTTAACGAAAAAAAAAACTTGTTACATCTCTGGAGTATCTATCCGGACATCATCAGCGAACAGCTTAATCCATTGGGGGCTGGAACTAGTACACTTGGAAAAACGGGAACTCTCAAAAAACAGGAACTAGACGTTTCAAACATCTTAAAATCTTCAAAAAAACGAAACAGTGGTCACTCTTTCTAAAATGACATTTACATCGAGCGAAAACTCCACCAATTTTGGCAAATTAATGCCGGTCACTTCATAATAGATAAAAATCCACCACTACTGCTACTTATTTCCACAAAAGGAGCCAAAAACAGAAAACCACAAATTCTACGACGAATTCGGATCCATACCTGAGCCTAACAAACTGCTCGGGACCCAAACCTAACACTACGACGACCCAAGTATGAATTACGAATTTAAAAATTCGTTCATATAGCTTGAAATTAAAACAAAAGCTGACATAACAAAACACAACGAAATTAAGACGTAAAAGATTTCACTTCTACAACGTATAAAAATTATAATGCGACTTCGAATAAAACATTAAAAGAAATTGCCGAAAAAGTTAAAATAATAAACAACTCTAAAATGGTTTATTTTAACATCTAGCAATGCAAATCCAATTACTGAAAACACTTTTGCGTATTTTAATTTGAAAGATACAAACTAACAAACACGGAAAAAATTCTTCATTTTATTTTTTAAACATATATAAGGCGATTTCCATATATTTCATATACGAGGAGATTTCAATATACTTCAAAGAATCAATGAAATTGAAAATGATACACCGGGGACTTAGCTTAAGCCCTACATTTGGAGTCCACTTTAAATATAGTCGGAGCTTACGATGACCAGGTCATCCATATAGTCCAGGACATGATGACTTTCGTTGCTGAATCCAGCTATCAGTCCATCCAGATTCGAGAATAATGATCCATGACCAGATCCATGACAAGAGAGGAGATAAAACTCTTCCCGATAAACACGCTCTGACTACTTGTGTTGGTACTGTATCAGTCCATGCAGATTCGAGAATAATGATCCATGACCAGATCCATGACAAGACAGGAGATAAAACTCTTCCCGATAAACACGCTCTGCCTACTTGTGTTGGGACTGAATCCTCCAGTAACGTTGAGCATATCGCACGGCTCCTTAGTATTCAGTCTATCTATCTGCAGCTTGTTTCATCTCTTATAACATCACATCTCCTTAGTTTTCCTGAACGTACTTCACCTTCTGTACAAGATTGTGCAATGCTGTTTCTGTACAGATTCCTGCTTGATAAGCATATTACCCCTGATGTATTGGACTTTTAACCAATCTTCTTCTTTCAGTATCGTTTTATCGAACGTTGGCGATCATATTAACCAATAAGCGTCTCTAATATGCCTACCGAGCAGTTTTTTCCAGTATAAAAGGCACTCTTTTTAGCCTCCATGCTTTTGGTCAATCCTAAGCTTACCTGCAAATATCGATTTCTCCAGAGTATATTCCAGTTAAAGATTAAGTACAAGAAATGTCCACAAAAAAGAAGAATTTTAATAACCTCAGGAACGCATAGAGTGAAATAAATACAATGGTACCTCCATATACAAGTATTTTGAGATACGAGCCACCGAGCGAGTGATATTTTGATTTGAAATGATAGCAAGATTTGGAGATACAAGGAATCGCACAGTACACCGCTGCACACGATCCCAACATGTGTCCCGCATGTTAAGAGCTCAGTCTGTGTGCTTGTTTTCCTCGTTTTTGATAACTTCGGCTCCCCTTTTTTTTTGGATTTGGTACATTTACAAAACATAATCACATTTACTTTTATAACCATGGATCTGAAGAAGAAGAAGATGTCTATTGAGTTATAGCATAAAATTAAAAGAAAACATCAGCAACGTGTGCGAGTAATTGACTTGGCGAGGATGTACAGGCTTGGCACATCAATAATATGTACTCTACTTAAACAGTAGTTGATAAAGAGTATAACCTGCTGAGGACGTTAAAATCATTTCTAAGCTCCGTACCTCTTTCCATGAAAAGCTGCAGAAACTACTGATTGTAAGAGTGACCGAGAAGCAGTTTTAAGAAGGTAAGTAGATCCCACACATTTTTACAAACGAAGAATGGGAAGACTCATTTAAAGTCAGTCGGAGCTGGTTTGACAACCTTAGAAAAGAACCAGCATTCACTCCGTCGTCAGGCATAGTTAGGCAGCAAGTTTTTCGAAATTGATAGAAGCCAAAGGATACATCCTCCAGCAAGTATTCAACTGTGACGGGACAGGGCATTTCTGGAAAAGAATGCCGAATAAGACTTACATAACAGTAGAAGAAAAGACGATGCTAGGTTACAAACCCATGAAGGATAAATTAACTCAAACTCTGCAAACTCTATCCTCTGCTAGTATACTATTCGGAAAATGCTATAGTTTTTAATTCACATAAGACTTTACAAGAAAAACTACAAGATATGTGGAGGGCAAATCCGAAGGTTTGGGTCATCAGGAAATTCTTTATGGAATAAATAAAGTTGGTGTTTGACCCTTCTGTTAAAAAATATCTATATAGAAAAACAACCTACCCATGAAAGTTCTTCTCGTACTCGACAATGTCCCTGCCCACCCACCAAATCTCGAAGATGATTTACTTGAAGCATTAAAGTTTATAAAGGTTCTCTACCTACTACCAGCTAATGGAGGACAAACCTTACCATTCGAGAGTTCCGGAAGGACCTCTTTAACATCGTGATATGCCTAAGAATTATTGATCAGGTCTGGAATACAACGAGGACCTTAACCTCTGCATGGAAGAAGCTGTGGTTGTAGCTGAAAGGGCATTCGAAGAATTGGAACCAGAAGTGTCAATGGTGTAACGGGTAGCTCTTTCAGGACGACAGACTCAGTAAAACACAGGTTAAAATAAAAATATGTCTATTGATCTAATATATGTACAATATAAATGAAAATAAAATAAATTCTGTGCCGTATAAAAATAAACGTAGAAATTAACTCTGCGCTCCGTCTGGATCCCGCGATGAATGAATCCCCGGCGGACGTCTATAAAAGAAAGAAAGAAAATAATTATTAATAACAAATAAAATAGGTGTATTCAATCGCACTCAGACGTATATTCGCTTCCGCTTCAAACCAGCGGGAGCTGCGAACACACTCGTCAACTACAAAATCGCTTATGCAGGTCCGCGATAAAGTTCAAGACACGATATCGGTAGACTCTGCTTAATTATGGACGGAGCATGAACTTCAAAGCAGAACTACCTCCGTCCGGGTGGGCTCGCCAGTTCAGGACACTGGCGAAGAGAGGAGCCTAAGGCGCTAAGCTAAAGACTGAATAAATGCCGCTATTCATATGCCTTAAATAGTTGCTCTGAACCCCACTCACATCGTGCTAAGGAGGTGGAAGCGCCAACGCTGACACTCCTACGGTTCAAGCTGTTGAACGGTGATGACATCGTTACACCCCCTTCTCTTTGGAAAAAAAAAAAAAGTAGCATACCTTTTTTTTGTATATGGCGTCTACAGCCTTGTAATGCCATTTATCCCTCTTGGAATCTTTATTACGATCTTCTTCCCGTTGTTGCAGTACAATCTGTATCTTTTGGTCCCCCTCTCTATTAGGTGTTGTGGGACGATCTCTACAAGATCGGCGTGTCTCCCGGGTTCTGGTTCGCCTGGAGTGGATGCCGACTGTGCTTCAGGTCCGGTTATCGTATCGGGTACGCTTTTCTTCTTCGGTGGTGTTGGTGGCGTCCCAAACAGTTCGTGGAATCTTTTCAACATTCTCTCTGTGTCTTTTCCTGGTGTCACGGGCAGTTCGGGTTTCTCTGGCGTTCCCAGAGGGGTCATCTGTTCTGGTATCTCTAGTATGTCTTCCATGTTAGATGTGGATGAACTGAATTTTGCTTGCTAGCACCGCTCTTTAAATACCGTTTGGTTGTGGTGGGGATTCGATTTGTGTAATGACATTTTCCCCCACCCAAGGTTTTAAATCTTTTACGTGTGCCGTTATCTGCTTGCGGGTATTTCTATCGGCCAATTTCAGTTTTACTATTACCGGTGATATTACTGACGTTACTACGTATGGCCCTGAGTACTTCGGCGCTAGTTTGCTGGT